GGTAAGTATGTTGAATAGTTTGGCTTGTTCTTTGCAGAACATCCTCTGTGCATCAGGAGGATTTAATTTTGATTTGTTTTTAAATTGGAGTGTGTACTGAATTTTGAATTTAGATTATTTTATAACTATTTCAAAAGGACTGGATTAAACTGAATGGAAATTGAGTGGTACAAAGATTATGTTTTGTTTGACAAAAAATTAATACCCAGTCTTTGTTCAGTGGTGAGGGCAGAAAGGAGGTCAGGCCTGGATAATGGAGGGAAGGTGAAGCGTGGGAGGAGGGGTTTGGAAAGAGGAAAATTGAAATGGATGCATACATGAGGGAACCAGGTTTGAATCCTGGCTCAGACTTTAGTGACTTTACTATTCTAGTAAAATGACCAACCCTCTGTAGTGTCCCGATTTTAAAAAGGGGCTCAGTAAAGGTTAAATTTCATGGGGTTCTTGTAAAGGTTAAATAAAATAACACGTTAAACATCTCGCCCAGTGCTTGGGGTGGCAGTGCTCTTCCCCTTTGAGTTCTTTTTCTCCAAGTAGGGAATTCCATTTGAAAGTTAATTTGTCAAAAATTGTTTATATATACATAGTCAAGTACCCTCCTTGCTTTTGTTAAAAGGGACTGTGTTATAGACTGGGTCAGAAAAAATGATTAATTATATAGAAATATTTTTTGGTCATTATAAAGATTTGGAAATAGATTTGTTGCATGTCTTTTGTTGAGTTTGAGCCAGAGTGGGAGTTTTAGCTGCTTTTGCATTATCTTCATGTGAAAGGAAGGGATTCTGGTTGGTTCTCCACTACCCTAGCCTAATGGTGCTGCAGCACTTCTGCTGTGTAGTGTAGCATTGGGAGTTAACATTAATCTTAATATTTGGGTTCTGTGTGTGAGTCACTGAAGTGAATTACAATTTGAAACCAAGGTTTGACCAACTAAGGTAGAAATGATATAAAAACACATTTTTATCCCCATTTCTAATTATAAGGTTAGACTCTCAATAAAAAAAGGAAAAGCTATATACTTAAAAAAATGATGTGTGTGTGATGATGATGTTGATGGTGGCAGGAGGAGAGTGTTAGCAGGCCTCGGCTTACGTCAGGCACACTTGGGCTTTCATACTGGAGACTAACTTGCTCTCCCCACCCACAACCTTTTTTTTATTTAGAGATTATACTAAGTCAGTGGAGGAAAGGCAGAAAATTCAGATGAGCAGAAGAAAGAAAAATGATGGAAAATCTCACTTCTCAGAGAAAACCATTAGTAAGATTTTCATGTATTTAGTGTCAGGTTATTTTTCTCTTTATATATTCCTGTGTTTAAGACAAAAATGGTAAGGGTGCCTGGGTGGCACAGTCAGTTGAGCATCTATCTGCCTTTGGCTCAGGTCGTGATCCCAGGGTCCACCCATGTCCAGCTCCCTGCTCAGCAAGGAGTCTGCTTCTCCCTTTCCCTTTGCCCCAACTCCAGCTCATGCTCCCTTTCTCTCTCTCTCTCTCTATTTATATAAATAAGTAAAATCTTAAAAAAAAAAACCCAAAAAGAAAAAAAAAAGACATCATCTTAAGCCATACTTTCTGTAAGTGGCTTTATTCAGTTGTCAATAGTAATCTTTTATACCTATAAAAATATTCCTCCAGCTTGTCGTTGCCTATGTTTTCTTCCAATTGTAGAAATAATACAAGTTCATTGGAAAAATTCTTAAGGGATACAGAAATAGCTAACAAAATAAAAGATTCCACATAAACCAACTGTTTACACAAAAGTACTTTTTAATGTCTACTTAGTATTCTGCTACGTGCACTGGATTATCATACTGAGCTGATCCATTGTGTTTTCCACTTAGCAATTAATGGAAAACAGTCTGTAATAAACCGCACTGTTAGGAATGTTCTTGTACATACATCTTGGTATAATTGCCAATTATCTCATGAGAATAAATTCCTATAAGTGGGTATGCTGGCTAAAGTGTGTATACGTTTTAAAGCTTTTTTGTCATGGACTGCTAAATCCCATCCAAAAAAAAAAATGATACCAATTAATTCTCTGATCAGCACTGTTTGGAGGATGTTTGCTTTCTAATCCTGTTTTTGTTTCTCTTAAAAATTTCTTTTTACCAAGTTGATAGGTAAAAATTATTGAATTTGAAGTTATTTTTTGATTATTAGATAAGTTTAATTTCTTTCATGAGGTTTTGGCCATGTGTATTCCTTCGTGAATTATTTTTCCACATTTTAAAGAATTGAGGTATTCATCTTTTTATATGAATTAGTATTCTAGTTTAAATAAGACATAGCAGATGCTTTTGTCCATTTGAAATAAAATAAGCCATTCATAAATAAAGAATTGACCCAAGTGGGCCACAGAGGTCTGTGTTGACCTGGGAGCCAGGAAATTCTGCCACACTTGTATGGTTATCCTGGTTGGTGGGCAGACTTGGTGTCTCTCCCCAGCTGCCTTCTTTGGCTATGTGGGGTTTTCCCAGCACCATCTCTGTTTGTCCTGGTGATTTCTGGATCTACGTCAGTATGTCGATGGGAAGTGAGTAGGACTCTGCCATCCGCTGTGATAAGTCGAAACACACTTTGGATGGACTGCCGGTGTTAGCGTACAGTTGCTCCCTTACCCTTATCCCATCATGCTGGCAAACATGACAGATGTCTGTTAAACATTTTAAAATAAAGCCCCTTCTGTTATTTTGGTGTGTGAAGTTCCACTTTAAATTTTGCATTGTGATGCTGTCTCTTCATAACATACCACTTGAGGACTTCCCTTTCTCTGTTTGCAGGGACAAGAGTGTGTGTGTGTGTGTGTGTGTGTGTGTGTGTGTGTACGCGCGCGCATGCGCGCCGAGGGTGAATGATAGCTTGAAAAGGGGTCTAATGGGACACAGATAACTTTTCTTCAGAGTGGTGTAGGTAGATGTTCAGTAGACATCCAATTTCTAAATAAACTCAGAGGAGACACTTACAGGGCAGTGAAAACACTCCTTGGCATGCTACCTGTCATATAGTCGGTGCTCATTAACTGATGGTGGTGGCACCTTGGTGTGTGACAACATCCTTTAGGTCATTCCATAGTTATTCATTGAGAGCCTCCTCAGTGGCAGGCTCTGGTCAAGCCTTGGGAGTGCTGCAGTGAGTGCAAAGGCTGACGTGTCTTTTCTTCATGGAGCTAATGCTCTGGTGTGGGGTTGCAGTCACTAAATAAAATCAGTAAGGAGATGATCTCATACTTTAAAAGAGCATAAATGCTTTGAAGAAAAATCAGGTAGGATGGCTGGGGGGTGATGGGAAGAGAAGGATTTGCAGTTTTAACTAGGATGGTCAAGGAAGGTGCTGATAAGTATGGTTAGGTCAGGCAGATTTGGATTTAAGTGAGTGACTTTAGGAAAGTCCAGTTGAACTCTTGATCCTCAATTTCCACATGTTAAAAAGTGATAATAGTGAACTTCCTGCCTAGGGTTAAATGAGATGACATGGAAAGCATATAGCATTATGCCTGACATCTGACTCCTCACAGGAAAGAAGTATGGTTAGCACCCGTTGAGGTGGGTGCTGCTCAGACACAGATACAGGCTGGGAGACACAGACATGCTCAAGAAAGCGGGGAGTGAGGCATGAGAGCTTTGTTCCAGAGGGACAGAGGCGGTAAAGAAGAGTGTGTAATGTGGGTAGGAGAGAAAAGAAGAAATGAGTGGGGGAGTCTTGGCTGTGTATGTGTAGGGAACAAATGAAGCAACCAGAGTCTTTCCTTTCTTCCTAAAGAGAAGGTAAAAGACACATTTCTTTTTATTTTTGACAGGTCTATCACCAGTTGACCCTTTGGTTCTATTTCAGTGCATAATCAAGTGTTTTACAGTCTAGTTTGGGGGGAAGTAAAAAAAAACCCCACATATATGATCTATATATGTATGTATGCATATTTGTATATGTGTATACATGTATGTGTGTATATACAAAGATAAAAGTTAGATATTGTTGCTAAATAGACTTTTAAATAAAGGAATGAGAAATACTGGAAGTTTGGCAGAGGTGGGTAGGATGGGGACATTGACCCAGAGTGGATGAGTAGGTTTGATGGGAGTCCTGAGAGGGAAGTCGGGTTTCAGGTCTTTACTTTGGAAGGACACTGGTACTTCCTGGAGTGTGTTCCATAGCACCTTTGTCCTAATAGATGATTAGGTAGAGAAGGTTTGGAGGGTCAGCTGAGTTTGTAAGAGCACCCGAGCGCCATCACACACAGGGGGGTTCACACTGCACGTTCACTTCCTGAAGCCCAGGGACCTCTAAACTGTGTAGTCCAGCAGCACTGGGCCCCCACATTCCCAGAACACTCAGGGAACTTGGTGTGGTGTGGTGCTGCCGGCAGCTCACTCTTCTTTTCCAATCACATTTAGGGACTGGAGTTGTTATTTGTCTTTGTGTGCAGACAGTATTTGCAGAGCATTTAGAGATCATTACACATACTTGCTATCGTTCTTGAAGTTTAGGAGAAAAAAATGACTCCAGCCCAGATAGAGAAATGATTAATGAGGATTATCAGTCTTGGCTCTCCGTTTTTCTTTCTTTCTTTCTTTCTTTCTTTCTTTCTTTCTTTCTTTCTTTCTTTCTTTCTTTTTTTTTCTCCGTTTTTCATCTTTTAGTTTTTTCTCTGTTGCTTATTTTTTTAAAGATTTTATTCATTTATTTATGACACACACACACACACAGAGAGAGAGAGAGAGAGAGAGAGAGAGAGGCAGGGGCACAGGCAGAGGGAGAATCAGGCTCCATGCAAGGAGCCGGATGCAGGACTTGATCCCAGTACTCTAGGATCACGCCCTGGGCCAAAGGCAGGTGCCAAACCGCTGAGCCACCCAGGGATCCCCGTGTATTTTGTTTCTGTGAAATGTTTTGTTGAGTACTGCGTATGATAAAAAGGAATTATCTTGAAAGTTAAAAATGGAAACATTTTGAAGACACTCCTGTTTTAACAATGGTGTGTTCTCCCTTTCTCCTCCAAGGTATATTACCCAAATTTGGGATGGATGTGCATTGATGCCACCGATCCAGAGAAGGGGAACTGGCTGCGGTATGTGAATTGGGCTTGCTCAGGAGAAGAGCAAAATTTATTTCCACTGGAAATCAACAGGGCCATTTACTATAAAACTTTAAAGGTAAGAGTGTTAAGAGCTGGGCTGCTGTGAGTTACTATGCATGCATTTATTTTTGTGACTGACAGTAATGACTTTGCCTGCCTTAAAAGGATTATGTTTGAAAGTGGTTCATCAACACATCGCAAGGTCTTTGTTTTAAATATACAGTTGCCACTGCTTTCTGTGCACCAAGGCATGAAGATTGTGTTAAGTAATTACATACTGCATCCTTAGAGATACCGGTGAGTTAAGCGTGTGGCAGCTCAGTCCCTCCTCCTAAGATACAAATACACCACGAACTGTCCCAGGGCAGATTTGTCCAAGTATAGGACACTGTCAGTAGCAGTGGTCCTTCTGTGTTAACTGAAAACACATTCTTGGTCTTCAGTGTCATGTAGATGTGGATTAGCTTTTTTTCTTCCTAGATTTTATTCAGAATGGAAGTTAAGTGGAATGGGTTTCTTCTTTTCTGCCAATTTTTTTATTTGGAGGCATTAATCATTGAGATGAAAAGAAGAGGAAAATCGTCTTCTGGAGTTTGTCGTGAGGCCAGAGGTCACTGAGTACATGCAGGGCAGTTAGCATTCGGAAGCCTAGAGTGCTGCTGTATTTCTGCAACAGTCAAGTCCATATCTCTGTCCCTGTTTTCGTGTTGTCTGGGAAGGCAAATCTGCAGTGATCCTGCATGGAAGTGTTCTCTAAAGAGGAGGTTTGAGGCTCTGAGGTAGATGATTGTTCCTTTTTGGAATAGATACATTAACTAAAATTGGCTGCAATTCAAGTTTCTGTTTATTCACTTCCATTTAAAAATGTCCTAGACAGTCCATGAAAACCATGAAAATGGTCTCTGTGGAGTTGAAATCCCTTGAGCAAGCGTTGAAGACAGTGGTCAGCTTTGCAGCATGGTAGTGCTGGGACTTTGGGAAATTTAGTTAACACAGAGCTGTTTAAAAAAAAAACAAAACACAGAGCTGTTTAGTTTTCCTTTGCTGTATTTTTCCTGTCATCCTTAGCCAGTTGGACTGTCCTTTGCTTCATATATACCCATGTCCTTGATTCCAGTCCCTACGGGAATTTTTTTTTTTTTTTTTTTGGTGGTATCTTCTCGTATAAAATGTCTCCCATCGTCCTTCTCATTTTCTTTCCGCTGGGTTGCGATCACATGATTTCCTAGTAGGTGTTACTATGCTGTTTTGTTACACCACAGCTTGAAATTGGATTCAGAACTTGATTCAAGAATTCGTTCATTGTTTCTCAAAATGACTTCAAGTGACAGTTCCCTCTGATTAAATTGGGGACGCAGAATCCTGGTGGAGATGAAGTAAGCAGCGAGGGGATGAATGCGAGGGGATCAAAGGACAGCAAGCCCAGGATGATAGTCAGGCATTCCGCAGTTCCTTCATCAGACTTCCAGTTAAAATGTATTCATCTCTGGTAGCAGATCTGGGAAACACTAAGAATCGAGTGAGAATGGTATTTGGGAGAGTGAACTTTAAAACCAGACTTCTGGATTAAATCTGGGCTTGCTTTGTGAGCCAAGGGAACCACCTTTCTGTTTCTTAGTTTCCTTATTTGTAACATACAGGTAATTATGGTAATGACCTCATAGGGTTATCATGTTGATTGCATAGGTTATTAGAGGTAGAGCTCTAGTGACTGATAAGTGCTAAATGCTAGCTGTCATTTTTGGTGAGGTGGTATAGTCCTGTGGTTAGGAGTAGGGACTCTGGAGCAGATTGCCTTATGAGTGAATTCTGGCTTCTAGATGTCTGACTGTGAGAAGTTACTTAAACTCTCTTAGTTTTCTCATCTGTAAAAATGTAATTAATACATAGCAGTTGTTGTGGAGGTTAAACAAGCCACTATGTATAAGGTTCCTTGAACAGTTCCTAGCCTAGCCTGAGTACTCCCAAGTGTCAACCGGCTGTACCACTGCTACTCTTTTTACCTTTGTCTGAAGTAACATAGCTCTGTCTTTGCAGACTTTCCGCAGTCCTGACCTTTGATGTTTGCTCACGTACACATAAGACCTTTCAGATTCCTTGCTGGTGATTATCTGACTATAATCTTCTAGATTAAGCTTTCTGTGGGTTAGGTTTTGTAAATAAATTACACGTGATGTTCCTCTGGGCTTTGTATAGCCTTCTCAACTATCACCCAGATAATGAGGAGATCTCAACACTGGTCTTGTTTATAGTATGATTAAAAACTATTTTAAATTCCTGAAGGTTAGGGGCGCCTGGGTAGCTTAATTGATTAAGCATCTGCCTTTGGCTCAGGTCCTGATCCCAGGGTCTTGGGATCAAGCCCCACATGAGGCTCCCTGTTCAATGGGGGCCTGCTTCTCCCTTTCCCTCTGTGCTCACACGAGCTCTCTCAAGTAAATAAATAGCATCCTTATAAAAAAATTCCCGAAAGTTAGCCTGCCATCCGTTTCATTAGTTTGATAGTCTACTACATACAAAGTATTCTTCTGTGGTAGTGAGTAGAACAGAAGGTCTCTGGTCTCATGGAACTTCAATTTATGGCAGAGGAGGCAGATAATAAACAATGAGTAAAATTATACAAATTATATAATTTTATATCTGGTGGGTCAGGGAAGACAAGACCTTTAAACGCTATCCACCCTACCCCTTAGCATAGGAAGGAGCCAGTTACACAAAGATGTCTCCAAGAAGAGCAGTCTAGGAAGAGGGCTTGGAAGAAGCAAAGGCCTTGGAGTAGGAACAAACTAGACTTATTTATTTATTTATTTTTTTAAAAGACTAGAAAAGGCCAGCGTGGCTGGAGCAAGGAGAGGAATGGTAGATGAGGCTGGTGAGGTGGCCGGGGCTCAGATCCGGTGGGGCCTAGTGGCCCGCAGGGAGAAAAATAAATTTCAGTCTTCAGTTCGCCCCTTGGAGAGTTGAGGCCATCTGACCTGTGACTCTGAAGAGATCATGCTGGCGAGTTGATTGTAGGTGGCCGAGTGTTGATGTGCTTTGTGTGTTCTTGTAATTCTGGAGTACTTCTCTTATTCTGACCTAGTGTCAGGAATATTTATTGGAACCCTTGCCTGTTCCCAATTGGTCTGGTAAGATTTCAAGTTTATATTTACTGATATTTAGGTAAGAGTATATGCTTGGTTCTGTACGCCTGTTGGAACTCAAAGGAGAAGAAAGATTTTAAAGTCTTCCTGTCCTGTTGTTGTTCTGTTGAACACCACGGTACAATACATAAAACAGAAGTTGTTTGGACTTTCAACTCTATTTTTTATTTTTTTTATTTTTTATTTTTATTTTATTTATTTATTTTTAAAGATTTTATCTATTTATTCATAGAGATGCAGGGAGAGAAAGAGAGGCAGAGACACAGGGAGAGGGAGAAGCAGGCTCCATGCAGAGAGCCTGACGTGGGACTCGATCCAGGGTCTCCAGGATCACACCCTGGGGCTGCCCTCAACTTTATTTTTTAAAATGTGGGTTTATCTTTCCTCTGTTTAACAAGGACATGATTTTTCTCTTCTGAAATTTGACTTACAAAATCTTAAATATGCTAAGCAGTGCAGAAGAAAAAACATAGTACAGAAGCAAAGGAGCAATGATTAAAAAAAAATATGTTTTCCTCTTCGTAAAGTTCTGTTAGTTGTGTAGCTGTTTTACTGTGAAGTTTTTTACTGGGAAGTATATAGCTCAGTGATACAATAGTCATCTCAGCTGCTAATGGTTTTGAAGGTTGTTCAATAGCTACAAATCAGGTTGTTCTTAACTTAGCTATGCACCAGATCTTTAGCTATTTAGAAATGTTATATGCGATTTAAGAACAGATTCTATTGTGTGTTTAATATTGCGTTTTGCAACAACAAAAGAGTACCCTCCTAAAAAAAAAGTTTGTGCTGATATTTATCTTCACACAGCTGCTAGTACAGTCAGTACTCCGCAGAAGATTGCAGTGGAACGAACAAGCTCTGAGTCTGGGAGGTATCTTGGAAATATCCAGTGGGTTTCTGGTAGCCAGTGTTCTGGTTATGCTGTTTGGCTAGGGACAAATGGGGTATACATTTTTCTTCACTCCTTTTCATGTTTCTTCTTTACTTTGGTTTTATTGAAGACTTCATTTATTTCTCTGAACCCTAATCATTTCAAATATTATAGGATACTGCCATTTCATACATATATGACTTAATAACAAAAAAAACAGAAGCAAACTATATTTTGGAACTAGAAATAGTTTATTTAAATAAAAAGCCTGTTCCTTCAGCAGAAACAGATTTAGCCCATCAGAGTGCCAAAAGACATCTGTAATGGCTATTTCAATGCATTAACAGCTTATATATTAGATTTTTTTTTTTGTTTCTTTGGGTGTAATTGTTTCAATAAGGCAAATAATAGTATATTGGTTTAAATATAAGAAAATGGCAGGTTTTAGCCATCCTTGGGGGAGCAAAGGAAACAGTATCTCGTTCTTTCATTTAAAAAACTTTAGAATATCTTAAAATTTGGACTACATAAACTGAGTTCTGCAGAGAATGAAACAAAGGCTACTTTCAAGGGCTTTATCTAGATGAGAAGGTATGTTAAAATGAGGAGCTGTGCAGTTTCTAAGTTGGCATCTTAGATGGAATTCACCTGCACCTAAAACCAAGGGCCTCCTCTTCCATGATCCGAGTGCAGCGATCAAAATCAGGAAGCTAACACTGACACAGTATCTCATTAGCTAATCTCTACACCTTATTCACATTTTATCAGTTGTTCCACCCATGTCGTTATAGGAAGAGAAAGCTCAGTTGCATTCAGCTGTAATATCTTATCAGTCTCCTTACTGTGGACAGTACGTGGTCTTTGTCTTGTATATCCTTTCAGTTTTGAGAGAACTGGTCGGCTATTTTGTAGAATGCCCCACAGTTTGGGCTTTTCTTACATTTCATCCTAATCAGGTTAAGTTACGGTCGTGGCATTTTGGGCCGAGCTCTCCAGAAGTGATGATATTCTTTCCTGTGCATTGTATCAGCAGGCACCTGATGTTGACGTCTCTTGTTCTAAAGGATACTGTTTTTACCTTTGTAATTAATGTTTTATGGGGAGATGTTTTGAGACCATACAGCTAGTACTGTATCACACCTGAAACTTACACCTACTAGTTTCCGCGTCTGTTGATGAATCCGTTACTAATGCTACGATTACCGATTACCGACTGGAGGTTTTCTAACATGTCATTGATTGGCTGGGATCTACTTTAAGGAAGAGAGAGCTCTTTCCTTCTCAGTTATTTGCTCGTCCATTCACTAGATTTGTATCGGTATGGACTGATGGATTCTTAGTTTATTTGGTGGGTTTTAGGTGCAGATTTACTTGTGTTGTTACCCTTGGAACTTTTTGAACAGATGAGTCGTTGTGAGAGAAGCCAATAGGCCATTTCCTTAAATTCTATTTAGGAATGTGATCTTTGCAGTCGGTGTATCTGTTTCGTCGGGATCCTATCGTAGGTGTCGTCAGCACGGTGGGGTGGGGGTACGTGCCCGTCACTGCTTTTATGGCGTTTTCAGAGTCCATGTTTTAGGAACATAGTGCCTGTGGGTTTTTGGTTTCTTCTCTGTTATTTTTGGGAGTTTCCTTGTGAGTCTAAAAGCTGTCCGGTGCGAGGGCGAGGCAGCGGCCCGTCCTCGGGAGCAGGTCGGTGGCCGGGACCCCGGGACCCCGGGACCCCGCGACCCCGCGTCCGCCCGTCCCGCAGCACTTCTGGGATTCCGTGGCGGCGCGCTTGTGGACGCGGACTGCGGGCCCTCCGCGGTCCTGCCGAACCTGCTCCTGAACCTGCTCCTGAACCTGCTCCTGAACCTGCTCCGAGACGTGCGCAGGTCGCTAGCTCTCAGCGCTTCTCCTTCCGGCCGCGGCTCTTCCCGCTGCGCTTTCCGAGGCTCGCGAGCCTGCAGTTCGTGGGCGAATGGTTGCGCGTCTCAGTTCTTGTGCGTGGGCGGCCGAGGCTCGGAGCGGGGGCCTTCGGTGCGGCCCGCGGCTGCGCAGGCCCGGGGAGCGGCGGGGCGACGTGAGGTGAGGTCCTCCCTCCAGCAGAGGGTCCCCGCCCGCCGCCGCCGCCGCCCGGCCCGGCCCGGCCCGGCCCGGCCCGCCGCCGCCGCCGCCGCCGCCGAGCTTCGGGAGCCCTTCCTGCCGGGCCCGCCTGGCGCCGCGCCGTGGCCCCGCCCCGCCCCCAGCCCCGCCCCGAGCCCCGCCCCCGCCCCGCCCGAGCCCCGCCCGCAGCCCCGCCCCGCCCGCCCGCAGCCCCGCGCCCCGCCCCGCCCCGCCCCGCCAACAACCGCCGCTCTGATTGGCCCGGCGCCTGTCTCTTCTGTCCCCGCAGCCAATCGCGCCGGGCGAGGAGCTCCTGGTCTGGTACAATGGGGAAGACAACCCCGAGATAGCAGCTGCGATTGAGGAAGAGCGAGCCAGCGCCCGGAGCAAGCGGAGCTCCCCGAAGAGCAGGAAAGGTAGGCGCCCGCGCCGCCCCGGCTCCCCGCCGCCCCGCCGCCCCGCCCCGCCGCCCCGCCCGGCTCCGGCTCCGGCTCCGGCTCGGGGGCGCCCGCGGCCCTCGCTGACCTTCCCCGGCCCCGCGCGGCCCCACTCGGCGATCCCGGCCCGGGCCCCGGCCCCCCGCCCCCCCGCCCCCCCCCCCCCCGGCCCGCTGCTGAATCACGGCCGGACGCCGCGCTCGCAGCCCCGCACGCCCGGCGCAGCCTTAGCTTTGGGTGCCGTTGGCCCCGGGCGCGTCACCAGCCGAGCTCCCCCGTGACATTGCCAGGCCCGCAGATCCGGCGGCCTCGGGTCCGCCCGGGACGGCCGCGCTGCCCCCGCCCCCGCCGCCGCCGCCGCCGCCGCCCGGGCCCTGCCCGGCCCTGCCCTGTCCTGCCCTCCTCCGGGCCTCCCGGGGCAGGCCGCGCCGCTGCTCCCCGCTGCTCCCCGCTCCCCCGCTCCCCTGCCTCCTCCCCTGCTCCCCTGCTCTCCGCTCCCCGACCTACGCTCCTGCTCCGCTCCCCGCTCCTGCTCCCCTGCCTCCTCCCCTGCTCCCGGCTCCTACTCCCGCTCCCCTGCTCCCCTGCCTCCCCTCCTGCTCCCCGCTCCCCTGCTCCCGGCTCCTACTCCTGCTCCCCCGCTCCCCCGCTCCCCCGCTCCCCCGCTCCCCGCTCCCCTGCCTCCGCTCCGCTCCGCTCCCCGCACGATTGCAACACTCCGGGTGGGCGAAGGTCTGGGCGCCGCGGACCTTCTCGAAATTAGGCCACTAACAAGATGGAAGTTGACGACTGTGCTGTTGTGTCACTTGTGCACACCGCTCTCCTAGTTTTATTTTGTTGTATGATGTTTCCCAACAAAAGGTAAAGCGTCGTCACACTTTAGGGAAGGGGATAATTTCTCGGTAGGAAAACAGTTTGGTTGGATGGATCGTATTTCCAGCTGGCGTTCGGACACGTCGGGATTTTTTTTTTTTTTAAATGAAGGATTTTAATGTGAATTGGCGAATCTTTCCTAAGAGCGCAGTTTGAATATGTGCCAAGGCACGGTATGGTAGTTCCTCACTCGCATAAATCCTTTTTTGTTTGTTTGTTTTGCCTGCTTTAGCTCTTACGTGAATTTTTGTAGTCCTCAGAACTTAGGCGCCCGTCCTTCACTCACACTCCCGTGGCCGAGGGAGCTGCGGAAGTCATACTGTAAATAAAATCAACCCACACTGATTTTGGAAGAATGTAAAAGTAGTCTTTAAAAGTGTAGGCGAGAAGTCGATTCTGATTTTTTTCTATTACACATTCTTCTGTATTTCGCAGTGTAATGGGAATACAGTTAACTCAACCAAGAGATTAACTCATCCAAGTTGGTGGGGTCTTTCACTAAATACATGTTTCCTATTTATCAGATGTTATCTTGTCATTGTTTTAGTCCATTGAATGCTTTGATCCTGCATCAGATGATCAGGGTCTAGAACATTCCCGAGTGTTTCTTCTGCTGTAACTGAATATTTACGATTTCTGCTGTTTTTAGGCTTAGTACGTAATTGTTTGCACACTGTTTACATATTTCAGTTTGTTCCTTTATTTAGTGTTCTTTTTATTTATAAGTGATGCCATCAGCCTCTCCAGGTAAGTTGTGATTTATTTGCAGGGGTGGGAGTTTGGGGAAGAAGAGCAGATACTCATTCTGCTACTGACTGTAACTAATGATTTATTTAAATACATTCATAGCTTACTAGCACCTTCTCTCAGGTTTTTCTCTAGTTTGGCATACTGTGGTGTGCATGTTTAGAACATTTCATGGCTTTCTGCTTTTTTATTGATTCCCTAAAATTTTTTCCTGCATATTTAGTTGGATGTGGAGGGAAGAAGCTGAAAATAAATTTTTTATTGGTGATACATGAATTTTACACGTTTACATTTTTATACCTGCCTGGATTGCTGGGTTTTTACATTGAATTAAGTATTTCATATTATCCTGTTACTATTTTTGTATTAACTCTGGGAAGCATATAATCTACTGAGTCTTAGGTTTTAATGAAAATACTTGGCATGAAGCTTGCTCTGAGAACTTAATAGTCTGTTTTGAACAACTTACTGGTGAAGAGTCCTGAAGTTTAGAGACTTTAAATAATGAGTCAAACCTTTGCTTTTAAATTAAACACTCGGTGAAAGCTAATTTATAGCTTGCAAAGACCTGAAATGGGGAACTTTTTATTTTAACTTGGTTCTCTTTAGGTCTTGTGTGTGACCTCAGACATTTATAACTATTTTTTCAGGCAGTGACGTCAGAGAGCAAATCAACAAAAATTTCATTCAGTAGCGTGTTAGCTTAGTAATTCTGAAAGCCAGATGTTGAAGACATGCAGCTGACAGGTAGACTGACAGTGGACCTAACTAACATCATTTTGGTTATGAGGCAGGGAGAGAGAAACAAAGGGTTGAATTCTTCAGGAGTTCTGGGCCTCGGCTCCTTTGCATGACAGCTGCTATGCCTACAGCTGTGCATTGCATGTGGCGCCTTTCAGAATTTATCACATCGCTGGTGGATCATGAGGCGTGTTCTGGGCAGTAAAAAGTCCTACTTCCTTTACAAAGTGGTCTCTTCTCTCTGTTACTCATTCATTCATTCATTCATTCATTCAGTTCATGTTTGTTAAGTCCCTGCCATGCGCCAGGCACTCTGCTAGCTTGTACAGGGCAGTTGTGAGCAGAAAAGAAGCAGTAATGCTCCTCGTGATGCCTGGAGTCTAGTTGGGGAGACCGACATTACATAAGGAAGTTCCTGATCAGCACCTTGATGGTTGGCATGGAATAGGCCCTCAATAAACGTTGGCTGATTGGCAAACAAAGACCCACACAAACCTTGTAACGAAGGGAGAGCACGCAGTGCTGGGAGAACACAGTTCATATTGTCTCTGACCAGCGAGCATGCAGCTTTGCCATGGGCCAAAGATGTGCATACTTTCGGTGTTTCAGACGAGAGTTTTGGATTCTCAGCTTCGTAATTCGGCCTGACTTCTTACGTGCCTGAGCAGCCCGTTATGAGACGGAGCATGAGAATTTCTTGGCTGGGACAGCTGAGACTTTGCAGGTAGAGAAGGAGGGAGAGATTTTTAGTGTCTGATGCTTCAGTTATTTTAATTTGAACCACAGGAAGATTGTGTTCTGAGAATAGAAACCTAGAAAGGCCACAGTTAGAAGAATTTACCATCTTCTCGATTTGTGCCATTTGTGCCGTTTGTTCCTGTGAGATATAAGAGATTGAGTTTGCTTGTTAGCAGTACATAATGACTGTTGGCAAAAAGTTCTTGTAAAATACAGACCATAATAGAATGTGGCGTTGCACTGCTGTCTCCTGGCTACGGGAGAGCCTTACCTGAAGTCCTTAACCTGAGCCCTAAGGAAACAGTAGTGGCTCATACAGATGGGCTTAGTGGAAGGAATGTAAGACACAGGAGTCCTGGGTTTCTCTCAGGTGTGTGACTGGGGAAGTATGTCACCTTTCTGGGGTGTACAGTGTCCATAGCTTTAAAAACGAGTGTCCTAATATGGCACGGTCTCTGTGCTACCTAACCTCATGGGGTTGCCGTCAAGAGCAAAGGAAATAATGAAAAAGAGCTCAGTGCCACGTGCCAGGACCATCGTAACAGTAAGTGCCGCCCGATGCAGGGGGGTAGCTGACAGTTGGTGTTTCTTGCAGAGGAACTCTTGAGTCTGTGACTCATTTAATCAGTTGGTATTTATGGAGGATTTCTCTAAGCCCAGAACCAGCGGCGGACCCCTCCATTCTCCTTTCCCTTGGCGGAACCTCGCACTGTGCCACTTCACCTTGGTTTTTGGCCTCCTTCTCACCTACTGACTTTCCCATTCACAGCAAATTAGAGACAGAGGAATTATTTATAGCAGCAGATAGTTTTTATAGCTGGGAGCTGGACAGTAAAGAAGGCGGTTTATAACCAAACTGGCGGTGCCTTGTGTGAAGAGTGTAGCTCCTTCGAGTTACTTGAGAGGTTTTAGATGATCCTTTATAGAAAGCGTAAGTAGTCCCTGAGAGTGCCAGCTAGTTTATAGTATCTGTAGAGGTGATTTGCAGTCATCACAGAACAGTTAAATTATAATCAACTTAAAGAGGAATGTTCCGTGCGTCTCTGTAATCAGAGTCGTTCAAATAAAGCACCTTGGTACTGTGAAGAGCACCTGCGCTTTCTTTAGTTGCACATATTTGGAAAGGCTTGCTTCTCCAAAGGTGACGGAGCCTACACGCACTTAGAGTCAAGTTAGGGAGGTAGGAGATCTGTGTTGCAGAATGATAGCTCTGTGGCAGTTTAAAGGGAAAAAAGTAAGTGCTGACCTGCTGGTGTGGGCAACAAGGGCTCCGGATGCCAAGAGGAGGGAGAGCTTGGCTGGGGCGCTGGGTCGTCTCTTTAGTAGAAAGGGTGGCGAGACGGGGGCATTCCGAAGGTGGAGAGGGGCCTTAGGGGACTGTCAGAGAGGAGCGGTGGCAGATGTCTGGAGGGTCCCCCCTCGGCCTCTCACAGGCATTTGCCGGTCCTCGTCTGACGCTGTGCTAGATGCTGAGGTTCCAGCTGAGAACTGGAGTGGCCAGTGTTCCCGCCGTCACGGAGCGTACGCCCCAGGGAGCGGGGGGATGGTCAGCTAGATGAACAGTGTGAGTCTGGAACGTGTGTGTGAGCTGGTGGGGCGGTGGATGTGGGTAGCCAGGGATGGCCTTTCAGAGGCCGTGACACGAGTGGCTCAGGGGTGGGCCCCTGCTCAGCTCCAGGAAGAGGGACCGATCTGGATGTTCTCTCAGCACTTTGGGCAGTTTATTGCTCAGGTAGGGGTGGGGGCATCGGGGGGGCCACCTAGAAACCCGCACTTGCGTGGGTTTTGTATCATGACACTCAGGTCTCCAAGTGAACGCACAGGCCCCTTCTCTACCAGGCGCTGCACTCAGTGGCTGGATTGGGAGGGAAAAGGTCCAG